AAGTGCCATTACCATGTCAATTGATGAGACTTGCATGTCAATGTGGACTATAAACCAACAAGAAAGGAAGGTAAATTGACTAGTCCATCCAAAACCCCCAACCTAACCCTATCTTCAACCTGCTTTTCAACAAAAACCTTTGCATTTGGGTAAAAACCTTTGCATTTGGGTAAAAATGGCTTATGTAAATACCCACTGCTTTTTAACTTACACGTAACCATTTATGTAGAATGTATATATATGAAGCAAGAACTAGAAATTGACATACTTGTTGAAGATTTTAGGTTAGCAGATCGAGATCAACAGCGATTTGGCGATTGATTGCGTGAGAGGGCTGGAGAGAGATCGATTGCTGTGAGATTGATTGCGTGAGAGAGATCGAGATCGAGAGCTTGAAATCTGAATCGAGGGCTTGAAATCTGAATCGAGGGCTTGAGCAACTGCGAGAGAGATCGAGATCGAGAGCTTGAAATCGAGATCGAGAGCTTATAACATAAGAGGTATTAAGTTGCAAAGATGGAAAGAGCTTTACCAGATGCGTGGCTGTGGCTATCTGCGGTTTGATTACCCCTGTTCTTCCAGATGCTGACAAGGTGAAGTGATTCTCATTACCAGATGCGGCTTGAGCAACTGCAAGAGATGAGCTTCAAATCTGAATCGGGATAACAGAGTGTACAAGGGCGTTAGAGCGACGAGGTTAGAGCGACGAGGTTAGAGCGACGAGGTTAGAGCGACGAGGTTAGAGCGACGAGGTTAGAGCAACGATCGGGGCTTAAGAGGTGTTTCAGACTTTAATTTAGGTCTAACCGATTCAGACAAAAATACACATTTTCAGCTCTTAATTGAAAGAAAAAACAAACGCACTTAATACCTCAAGGTCTGACCGATTCAGACATAAGAGGTATTAAGTGGTTTTTTTTGAAAAACAAACACCCCCAAGTGTAGCAACTTAGTAAGTTGACAAGTGTTTTTGTACAAAAACAAAAGTTGTTTCAAATAAGTAATCTCAAACACCCCCTAAATAGATATTTATTCTTTGAAAATGTAACTTATAACCTCGATAGAATAATATAAACCTTATTAATAAAAAAACCTAAAAATATCCTAAAATATGATGACTCCCCATCTCCCTCATTCGACCACACCACCGTCTTTCTCTCGTTGGTTAATGTGTCCACACCATCATCCCACCCCCATCACCACTGCACCACCCCCGTCACCGCTGCACCACCCCCGTCACCGCTGCACCACCTCCGTCGTCGCTGCATCACCCCTGTCGTCGCTCGTCACCATACACCACCTTCCAATCACCGGATGTTGCACCGTCCCTATCATCGGTCGCCATTGCAATTTGATCTAATCAGGTTTGTTCCAACATTGTTCATCATAGGTGTGAGCACGGGTTGAATCGGACCATAAACCGACGACACCGATCGGGCATCGGATTATAATATCATGCACCGTAATATGCAGTTCGGATTCGGGGCCGATGAAATACCTTTGTTTCTCACATTATCATGGTTTTTTCTCTCCATTGCTTTCACCAAAGACTTAGTGTGCATTAGTATTTGCCGCGTATAAATATTTTATACTTTAAAAAAGAAGACATTTGTGGGTTTAATACTTAAAAAATGTAGATTTGCTCATGAAAACCTTATGTCTGAGGTTTGAACTTAGTTAGATAATCCAATATTTTGAGTTAAAAACAATGTTTGTATATTTTTATAATGAATAAAGTGCATCAATGGGTATGTGATAAAAGTTTCACCCCTCAGGAACTCTAGAAGTTCACTGCCCAGTGCCCACAGTCCACATATAAGAAAATATGCATATAAGTTGAAGTTAAATTGTTAAAGGTGGAACTAGTTCAAATTGTCATTATCTAGCAAATTGGTGCCCAAAAATTAGCTACAGATCCCTGACCCATCACTAATTTTTAGAGTTGTTGCATGGTAATAGTAATAGTTTTCTTAAGAAATGGAAGACAAAGATTGACATACACCATGACAATTCAAAGGTATCTAGTACTAGTAGTAAAGTTGAAAAAATCGGGTTCCGGACGGGTTCGGGTTTTGGATCATGAGATCCTACCCGATCCTACTAACCCGATATAATTTTCGAATTTCGGACCTCGGGTTGGTTCGTTTCATAGATATCGGTTCGGTTCAAGTTTTTTTGATCTGGTAATTCGGGCTGGGTCGGGTATTGCACAGTCCTAGTTCATCACATGATTACTTTGTGATCTATGTAATAAAGTTAGCACTTCAGAATTTCATCAAAGTTCTTGGAATAAATGTGATGAGGCCCAAAATTTCAATTCTCCATTTGCAACATCCTGTAACCATGGGAACGTGTTTGAAACATGAAATAGTTATGAAGCAATGGTGGTAGATTAGATGCTAGAAAATGTAGTTGTAGATTGTGAGACATATTAGGTATTTCTTGTGTGCATTCCATTGTTGTCATGCACTTTATCAATAAGGATCCAGAGGATTATGTTAGTAAATGGTTTACTAAGGATCTCTTCAAAATGGCCTACAAGAATACTATAAGACCATTGAATGGGAGCAACATGTGGACTTCAACTCCTTACATCAAACCAAACCCACCTAAGGAAAGGAGAATGCCTAGTAGACCATCCATCAAAACAAAAAGATCAGAATCTGAACGCCAAGATACAAGGGTGACTCAATCTTGGAAGGCAATGACATGTAGCAATTGCTTGGAAACGGGACATAATGATAGGACTTGTAAGAATGAAAAGAAGAACCACCACTTAAATTTGTTAGGCCAAAAGGTAGAGCAAGCCTCAACATTCCAAAACCGACAACAATAATAACAACAAGAGGCAATAGAGGTGGGAGGATACCATCATATGTTAAGGAACTCTTATGATCCAGTTACAGGAGAAGTAATGATTGGGGTAAGCCATTATTTGTTTTTCAGATTCAAAAATAACATTTTTGATGATTATTGCTTACACTTTATTTTCATCACTAAAGACATCCTCAGGTTTGTTACAACCAGCATGACCCGAAGGCATCCTACCGTAGTCAGTTTCAAGAGAGTTGTTGTTATGAAGACCGTGATGAAGGTGATATTATTGTTGGTGATAAAGAACATTATGAAAGTGATGACGTTGTTAGACATCAA